ACATGGTACAGTATGTCTGCACATGTAAGGGATAAACCCAGATACCCTGTACATGGTGCAGTTAAAACAGCATTTGAATATCTAGAGAGGCAAAGCTCACCAAACTAGTTTTTAATCTCTGGTGATTTTTTTTCTTTACAATAGAACCTTTAATAATGTTATGCAGTATCATGATCAAGCACTTCATGAAATGTAGAATATTCTTTCAATTAATGTATTTTCATTATGAAGTCAGAAAAACAATAATAATCAGAAGAATAATTATTTGTATGGATTCAGCACTTTTTAAGTGAAACATCCCAAAGGGTTATATTTATAAATACTGTATACGAGCACTTACTTCATCTACCGCACAACAGCCACCTGAGTGATGTGCGGCAGCTCAAGAAGCACAAGAAGCCCTATTATGCAGCACACCAAACTGTGAAGGGAAAGGGGAAAACTTTATGTAGGCCAGACTGTGAAAAGTAAGAGTAGAATTTAGCCAGGACAACAGAGGTGGCACACCTACTCTTACGAATAGTTCCATGGGTCCTTAATGATGAAGTAGTCAGGACCTCATTATAATGTCACTTGCCGTGTACCACCTATGAAATAATGCAACACTCAATACTAAAAATTCATGTCCCCTGAAAAAGGGTTTAATGTTTCATTAATTAATTCTGTGTCTCATGGAGAGGAAGCTGGGGTATGCGAAAAGACGAATTCCTAATGCAAGAAATTGTACAGGGCTAAAAAAGCAACATTGTTATTATTATTATTATTATTATTATTATAAGGATCTTCCTAAGAGATTCGAGCAAGGCGATGCACTAGTGTGTAAGCTAGAACAGGATCAAGTAGTGGTCAATTAAACTGAAATGTAGTGTATTTCAGTCTTGCTCTTTTTTTCAGTGTGGAATCAGCCTTGGCCTCCTTATTTTTCATTTTGAGAATATAGAAGGGTCTAGAGGTGGTGTAGAATCTTTGCATTAGGGGTAATTTCAACTCATTTTCTGTTTCCTTGTTTCCTGGGGATGGCTGTGTCCCTTTCCACAGAAACCAAACCAAAGACCAGTTTCCCTCACTTTCTTAGAGGAATGCTAAAATATGTATAGCATTTCCCAGTGGTCTGCAGCTGTTGTGGTGTGACTTGGGCATTAATAAATCTGTCTAAACATAACTCAAATGGTAATACTATGTATATGTTTCTTCAAAACGGTTTATGTCATAGAACAAATATATTTATTTCTTACCGATATATTTAACATTTTCCCTCCTGATCATAAAGTATAGAATCAAGGAAGGGTGATTTACATTTTAGCCCACTGTTATTTTATGTTACATATTATTATAGATCCCCAGACCATTTTAATACAGTATTTTTGGATGTCTGAACAAACTAAGTGTCTAAATATTGGGCATGTACCTGGAATATTGCAGAACTTCACATATCACTATCGTTACTGAATCATGCATCTATGTGGCAGCTATAAAGTTTGTAACAGCTGCACCAAGAATGTCTGATGAAAGCACATCACACTTAATAGATGACATATGACTCGTTCACATACAGTATATGCAATCTAAAATATAACACTGAATTGCTACTGGTTTCTTGTGTTGTATTTGGGATTTCGGTACAAAGAATAAATCTGCTACGTAAAATAAGTTTCAGTCTGTTGTTATTCAGGAGAGAAAAAGGAAATATATCTCGCCGTTTCTTTAAATTACCAGGACATTTTAGAACAACTGCCGGAGTAACTGCATGCAAACTACAGTAGATTTACAGATAACGGGGTGTGCCGTGGAGGCAGTCCTGGCTTACTACTGCCAGAGACATCTGTGTTTATTTTGAATATGAAGGTAACGTGATAATGGCCTTGTCAGCTCTCTGTTCTCTCTGGGTTTCAGTGAACCGTAAACCATTAAAGCTTTTTTCTTGTTTGACTCACTAGTCTCTATGTCCATGGCAAGCAACTCAGTTTTTTAAAATCATAAAAATAGTTGTGATTTGGAGTTGCGAGATGCTTTGTATTCAGAATTATAGCTGCTTAGCTTAACTTTGCTTGTTAAACATTATCAAACATTAACATTTTAATACGTTCCCTGAGACGTATTCTGATAAATGTTGTGACGTGTTTGTGCAAATAGACTCTGTAAACCAAGCAGAAAGCAAATAAAGTAGAGGATTCCCAAGCTATTTGTATTGTAGTATGAGATATTTAAAAAGGCTATACCAGATAACTTTTACAAGGCAGGTATGTTTTTGAATGAAAAGTGAGGAAAGTGGTATTTAAAGTAACTGCAGTAAATCTGAAAGCCTTTAGGTAGACGTGAAAACCGATGGTGGGCCCCACCAAAGTATTTAATCAGAGTACAGGTACCTTAAACAAGTAAACACTTTAACAGCAGCTCGACGACTTTTTTTTGTTTTTTTTTCTCATTTTGGTTGCTTCGGTTACAAAATTGTTATTTTCTGTGTTGTGGGTGTCCCTGCTTGAATACTGTATTAAAACTTAAATTTGAAACGATTTCATCCCTTTAAATAGAACTAGGTAAAACGTACTTAACAGATGGATATGCTTTCGCAGTTACCAAAACAAAAGTACACTTTTGTGAATTTCGGAAGGAAAATACCCTGACCTTCCCTGCTTTCTCTGGAAATCACTTCTGAATTTAATTATTTGTTTTAAAGTATAGTTATACACACTGTATACTATACTTTTGGCAGTATTCACAATAACGAGTTTTGAAACAATTTTGAGTTGGATCTTTTATTTCAAATTGATTCAAAATATATTTAAACTTATTTTAACTGAGATGTACGGGAGACGTTCTTCTCTGAAAAACAGAAGCCTAATGACTGTGGTTTCACTTGTTACTTTATAATTAATTTTGTAAGAGCTGTCCAGAAGACTGCTTTCTCTCAACCTCTTCATCTCTCGAAAAAATCCTGAGTAAATTTATCCACAGAGCACTTGAAGCATCTGAGCTACTGTTACCTTTTATGAGGAATCTTTTTAAAGAAATGCTCGAGACCATATGCCATGTTTAAATTATGGCATTTGAATCACAGCAGTTTTAATCCTGTTATAATCAGGCTTCCCAGACTTGCAATTCACGGTATAGCTACATATGTAAAACACAACAGAAACAATAGACACTTGGACGCCCTGCGTTTTAACATAAACACAGAAATGTAAAACAAATAAGGTCGTTGTTTGTGGGATTGTTCGGCGCGTACTGTACAGTAAAGAGGTTGGTCGTGGAGAAAGATAAAGCTATACAGTTGTTATTTGGGATAATTTAAGATGATATTCTTATAGGTTTGCGATACAGAAACTATATGTTCATACATTGTTAGGTCAATTGTTATTATTTTATTAATACAAGCAGAAGAATTTACTGTTCTGATGTTTATTGTTTTGAAACACAAGTAAAATTAACTTACAGTTTAATGTGTATTACTTTAATGCATAACAAATAGGATGCATAACATCCCTTCAAAAAATAAAACTACAGTGGAACGTTAAGACGATTTGTCCTAAATATTAATGTCATTTGCCTCAACAATGAACTACATGTCTATTTTACTCTAAGGTAACACAGAAATTATACTGTATTATGTTGAATAAAGTTGGGTGCTCCTTGGAAATCGCCTGATCATGAAAGTGTTCCAGAGTCTTCAGCAGGATACTCTCATAAAAAAAAATAATTATTATTTTTCACATATACAATGTTATTCATGTTTTGAAATATATATGCATATTTCTGTCAAATGTTTTGATAAAGTTTGACATTGCATATTTTCCCTTGCATTCATTCAGGGATGTTAATACCATAATCATCCAAAAGAAAAAGCAGAGGGAAACTAGAGGTAGAAGCAGTGAAATGAAAATCTACAAATGAACATCTGGTCCTGGCATCTCTGTATTAAAACAATGTGAATTTTGTGTAGAACAATATTATATGCAGGTCACCACTCATGAAGACGTTTTTTTTAATTACACATAGAAACCCTTATGCTTCACTTATGGTCCGTGCCATGCTGTGGACAGAAGCGATGCTCTCTCATTTTAATGAGGAGTTCGTCATTCTGGGATTGATAGTTGACTTCTGATACCGTTACTGTATCTCATCACCAGGGGACAGTATTATCAATGCCAGAAAAAGGTTGCGACATTGCTCAGCACAGTCTGTGTGGCGGTGATAATAATTATTGTTCTGTTAAGATATACTTGTGATTAGTGTGGCAGTAATCGACGTCAACACAGACTGTTTGAGCCATGATTTTCCCTCCTGTCCACAGTATCACTGAAGGGCTTGTACTGGACCTTGAAAAGGCTGTTTTAATGTTTAAAATTGTATTTTTTTATTTTACCATCCCCAGCAATATTTATCTGCTGAAATATAAAAGCAACAGCAAGATAACAGTAGTATTCAAACGTGAGTTATCTCCATTGATTATGAAACAGCGGCCTTCATATCAAAAATTTAACTATAGGCCCTTATTAGAGTTCTATGGCAAATTAAAAAAATACTAAAGAAATGTAACAATTTAAACTTATTCAACGTTGAAATAACACATAGCGTCCAATCCACCATTCCAACAAGTCCTCACAATTTGAAAAGCAAAAACTATAATTTTCATGAAAGCTATACGTCTACTACTAATTGTACACTACTGCATTTTTCAATTATCCAAAAGACATGAAGCATTATTTTTTAGCTGCTAAACGACAAGAGGCGATTTTCTTCTGTCTGGCCGATAATAAAAACCTATTGTGAAAGGTTTATGCAATCGTTCTCATTTCTTTTTTAGCTTACTTGGGTGTCAGAAATGTTAAAATAACCGAGAACAAGAAGCAAGATTGTTTGTAATAAGGCTCTGCACTGCCACATTTAGGCACAGAAGCACGAAGACAAATGTCTTCTTCGAAATCTGCTCTCTCCCAGCGCGTTGCCCTTTTAAGAACTACATCTTTCCGTTCGCTTAGTGACGTCAGGACAGTGAAGGACTCTAGCCTATCCTCCTAAACAATCCAGGCAATGGTTCTCTCTCAGAGCTCCACTTCCAAGGGAGATAGAGTTTTTAGCAGCAAAAGCCAGAAAACACCAGACGCTGAAATGACCCAGAGTCCAGTGATCGCTGTGGATTAAAGCGGAAACTTTTACGATGGCCGTTAAGGTGAAAAAGTAACCAAAACAAACATCAGAAGCGAGATCCACAGATGCACACAGCAATGAGCGGACCGAGCTGCTGTAAACCTGGCTGCAGTTTTTATTCCTAAGTATTTTAATAGAACGCGCCTTGTAAAACATTTTACGACTCTGATTGATTTTTATCCTGCTCGCCTTTTAGTAGTTTTAATTTTAATTTTAAAAGAATTATGGCGGGGAAGGCGGCTGCACAAGGCACGGGGATATTGCTCGTAACAGCCAACGTTGGATCCCTCTTTGAAGATGTAAGTAGCTAGTTGACACTGTTTCCTTGCAGCTGGTTTGGACTGTAGTTAGCAGGGTTTTTTTTCTACAGTGTAGCGCTGTGTCCATGCGTTGATCTTTAAGTGAGGTGTGTCGATTACTTTTTAAATCTGACCACGTCGCTAAGGACCCTGCTGTACTTTTGAAAACAACCAAAACGCGGGCCCTTTTAGTTTCATGGATTGAAAAAAAATCAGTTACACTGGACTTAATGAGGTTCATAGGGGAGTGCAAGGGTGCTGCTGTGAATGGGCAGTCTGCTTTTGAGGTTGCTTAAGGTTAAATTAAAAAAATATAAATTATGCTCATAGGAAATGGTAACACAGGGCCTGTTTTTGTTTATAAGACAGGCTGTTTATAAGGTTAATTATACAGTACAATTTTTTTTTCTGCAGTACCAGATTATGTTATATCGATCATGTTTTTCTGTCTCGAGTTCCCAGCGCAGTTTCACGGTTTAAATGGACTTGTTGACAGACCTTTTCACTGTAGAACCTCATAAAAATACCCACTTCACATGAAGTTGAGGTAATTTGCTTTTGTGTTGCAAGTCACACTTGTCCAACAAAATTACTTACTACCAAAACTTTAATCACCCATGGACAACATTTGTAAACTGAAAAGTGTTGTTCAAAGAGCGTATCCTGGATTAAAATGGCTACTATTTTTTACCATGTTTAGAGTTTGGTTATGTTTGCTATGGTAATTTTAATGCCTCATTTGAGTGTGCTAAATTCACTTTACAACTTTGGTAATTAACAGTGTGTTTGTGTTTATAGCATGTGTCTTAATCTTGAAGTGGCGTACATTAAACTTTAATATATTTTCGTGAAAGATGCTCTGCAGCTAATGTAGGTTTGTATTCTGGCTTTTATGCAATGATGTGCTGATAACATCTGTTTGTTGCAATGCACGCACTTAGTCTATTTAATTTGTTAGTGGTAATCATTTGAAGTAAATATTTTAGAAAAGTTCTGGAGTTATTCCAGAACTGTTTGACTGAAGTTGACCCACGTTTTTCTAAAAATAGAATCTATACTGATTTAAGTGAATAAGAATAAAATGCACATTCAATTTTGTGTAATCACCTTATGCTTCGATTAGTGAAATGATTTAAAGTTACTTGACGTCGCTTGAGAAGTAAGAACATATCTTTATCGTCGTAGTAACATATACACTAATTTCTAAGTTGTTAAGTCTGCCAGTTAGCTCCCATTACTTTCTTTGGTTTTGATGTCCTGTTGCTTGTTAATAAGACATTTACGAATGTTACCGCCGTTGAAGAAGTCACTTCTAGCCTATCGTGTGAAACTAGCTTAGCAACAATAGATAATGGGAGGTGTACTGTTTGCTGAGCCTTTAAATTCTCTATCCATTTTCAGAGTGATTATAATGTTCACAGATGCAGATGTTAGGGTGTTAGTACTTTATATATAATTTTTTTATTTTAACAAAGCTTCGAGTACAAACTAAAATATCAAACATGAGAGGTCAAACGTAAAGAACTAAAGGAGTACTGTTAGAATCATTACGTGTTTATTGTACTTAGCAAGCTTCCAGGAAAACATTTAAGAGAAACACTGCTTGTATCTTTTTAGTGATGTAAACAATCACAGACCAGGGTGACTGAGTTTTTTGGGAGTCTTTTAAAATCTTTACTGTTAGACACCAGAAAGAGGGTTTTTTTATGCATCTAGGGATGTAGGTAGACACAGGACTACTGTCTTAATTCAATTTTGGATTTAATTTTTCTGTATTGGGATCATCTCATCTATTAAGACACTTTCTTAATGGAAAAAATATTTCTGTAGTGCTTCTTGTGCAATGGTATTTTAGTAATATTTTGTACTGATGCCTCCTTGAATCTTTCGGACCTAATGTACTTACACTGGTATGGTGGAAAATAAACTTTAAAGTCTTGTTCCATCTGGATGTATAACTGTATCAGCAAATTAATTCATTTTTCTGTTTCACATAAGGCCTTTTATAGTGCACACCTTCTAAGTGCTTAATCGAGGGTGATTAAAAAAATAAAACATAGATATCTGTAAGTAATTGTAAGCATGATAAGAAATGGAAAGTCTGTATATTTCTGTTTTTCTGCTGAGTAACTCATTTAATTTATTTAAGTGATCCTGAAGCTATTTTTGCAATTTCCATTGAAAGCATTTTGGTTTGTTATATAATCAAAATGCAGAGAGTGTGTCAGTCTTTTTGTATTCCAGAATTCCTCACATATAATAACTTATTGTGTCTTTGTGTGTTGTATCTTGGTTGTTGTGTATATATGGAAGAGTTTGTCCATTGGTTTAATCCAATAAAATGCCTAGTATCATTGGGTGATGAATGAATTATAAACAGTGTTCATCTTGTTCTTCAGGAAATATTGATTCCTAGGTTATATGCAAAGTAGCCTACGATTTTGCTTCCTTAGTATCTTATCTGCAAGATCGGGTGACATTATTGTTTTTATCATTCCTTTTGTGTTGAAAGATGAGTGAAAATAAGTTAAAGGTTTGAAAGTGAAGCCAAGCAAGCAAACTGCAACTGTTCTTTTCGTAATGCAAAATGTTTCATTCTTAATGAGGTTTCTGAAAGCGTGGTAATTGCTACATATCCATGTGAAAGAATGTATGGCTGACCTTAAAAATCAGAGAATAAATATTTAGCATAGGGTTACACTTTAACTTGATTAACGTAAATGTAAATATCTTTTGATATCTTAAATATTCCATATGGTATGAAAACTGAACAAACAATTGAATGAGGCTGCCTAACGTTATGTTTAAAAAGTCCTTTCCTTTGAAGCAGATGTACTGAGGAAGCCTTCTGGTGACGAGTTGCAGCTGCTCATTAACAAAACAGCTTCCAGACTTTCCAGACATTTCAGTATTTGTCATCTATTTGTTGTGAAACCTACTGTTGAGCTTTTCCTTCAGCGATCGAGAGAACCCTAAATATAGTGTACTGTAGCTATACTTGAATGCATCTTTTAACCATGCTTTTACTATATCTTTCCTGAGGATGACATGAAAAAAATACTATTCAATTAATCGATCTCAAATATCTCTTTTGTTTTTGTTGTTTTTGCACTTGGAATCAAGTGAATGCATCCACAGCCCTTTGGGGGGAATTCAGTGGAGTGGCAAAGGCTACACTTCAGATTTAATTTATAACGTGTCCTTTAGATGGAATATATAATTTGCTCTGTAAGGTTGCTATGCATAGTTTACCTCAGACAGTGGTACTTATTTCTGTATTTCCTTGAACAGTGAAAAAAGACTGCAAAGTGAGATGTGAGTGTAAGTTGTCAAACTGCTCTTGTAGTTACAGTACACACCACTGTAATGTTAGTAGTGTTTACATAGCAGAATTAAACATGCTTGAGTAAATGTTATGCTTTTTCACCCCTTTTTTCATTAGGCCTTCTTGCTAGAGCAGGACCATATAGGGATACTAAGGTTTCAATTGGTGTAATCCATACTGTAACACACACATTTGCTGGTCTTCACTACCCGAAGCAATCAAAAGTTTTTGAAGACTCTAGTGCTCTTTCTGTGCATCAGGACATGCAAATTAAGATATTGACAGTAACTGCTACACGTTCCAGATGTGTCCTCTAAGTTTGTGCAAGAATGTGAAAATAGTACAACAAACAACCAGTACATTATTAATTTTTGTTAATACTTGTTTCTGAGTTATTGATCTCTTATTCTGTTTCTACATTATTGATTACTCTCCTGTTTTTTATGCTGTCACATGTTGCCCTTGTCATTAACTGATAATCATTGCTTTGATATTATTAAGCCATTAATGTCTCTTAATACGATGTTGACAAATTCTTCTTTTTTATGCTTAGCCTGGGCCAGCCTAATTATCATATCAGAATTGTGAAATTATGATTATTGTACTGGCAATAAACAATTAAAACTTAAATTTCTAAACCACTTTCATCCCATAAGATTACACATTGTTGCAAATGTTTCCCAGAAAATTATCGGTCAACCACTACCTCATACTGAAAATGAATAGCTTTTGAACTGACTTTGTAGGAAACAGAAAAGAGAGCTTTTTAATATCATATTTACACAAAATCAAGATCAAGTTGCTATGCATTAATGAAGTAAACTTTGAAAGGTCAGTTCCACTCAAGTGATATGCACTTTTTTTTGCTATCCCTGAGATGCTGCTCCAGAAAAAAAGATGTGCTGGTAAATGTAATCTTTCCATGAACATATCAGTAGACACCAATGGAGTCGCATTGAGGCTTGACTGTTAATAGGTGACCATTATCCATCTATCTATTTTTAGCCTATTCTTCAGGGTGTGGGGGAGAGCCGGAGCCTGTCCCAACAAGCACAAAGTGCAAGGCAGGGTCCACCTTGGATGGGACGCCAATCCATTGCAGGGCAGACAGACACAAACACACTCATGGACATGCTCACACCAGAGCTAGTGAACATCAAGAAACTGTAGAACGAATCTATTACTGGGTGTCCTGTCAGTCAACAGTCATAGAGTGGATGCTTTGGGCTGTGAAGAGTGTTTGGACCCAGATGCTAATCAGCATACGCACATGTCTGTGAGAGCCTCAAAATGTCTTAGCAGGGGCACAATAGAAGAGCTGCAAGATGTAATTATTCCTCACTCCGCTTATACTGCAGAATCCTTGTGCCCCTGTGACAAATTTTTGCAGACCCAAAGAATTTTCCCTGGAGCGATGCTGTCTCTTAGGAGCGACAAAGAATCCATAATGATACAAACCTATAATGTTGTGAAGACCTCGTATTAACGGGTACCTCCCTCATTTCACCCCCCAGCACCCCGGCTGTCTGTGCATGAGTGTGGAACTGTGTGATCGTGTGCTATCTGTGGCACTAGCCTCACCAGGGCTCCCTTTGCTCCGCCAGAACCCTACTGGGGACACGTATGCAAACCTATAAATAGATTCACATGATTTGAACTGGTCCAGTGGTGAACC